GGCCAAAAAGTCTGGCTTCTACACGAGACCTTCCTCTCCACGTACTCTCCCGTAAATTGGCTCCCGGGTTTGTGTGGGTCCTTTTCCCATCACCAAGGTCATCAACCCGGTTTCAGTGAGACTACGGCTTCCAAGGTCCATGAAGGTACATCCCACCTTCCATGTAGGGAAACTAAAACCATTGAAGGAGAGCGCTATGGTTCCCACCGCCAAACCCCCACCCCCGCCCCCCCGGATGATCGATGGAGGTCCGGGTTTACACAGTCAAGACACTATTAGCTAGTCGGAAAAGGGGTAGAGGGCGACAGCTACTGGTTGACTGGAAGGGTTTATGGTCTTGAGAGAGCGGACATGGATTCCTTCCCGCTTCATCATAGATAAAAGCCTCATTGAGGATTTTGACCGCCTCAACTCAGAGAAGCCTGGGCCCGTCAGGAGCCGTCCCTAGAAGGGGGGGTACTGTCATGTCCAAGAAACTTATAGTGAAAGTTTATTCTTTATGTTAGTTTTGTCATGTCCCTTTGTCCTGTGCTTTATGTTTATTCCCTTAATTAATTCTCCCTCTCATTTCAGGCCTCCATGCTCCCTGCCCCTTTCTGTCTCCTGCGTCCTTGATTGTTTTCCCCGCCCTGATTGTTTCCACCTGTGTCCCCTTTACCTGTGTATATATTGTGTTAGCTCCCTCCTGTTCATTGTCAGTTCGTTGTCTCTCTATGACCTACGTTACTGCTTACCTCACGGACTTCTCACGGATCTATGTTATCGATCACTGTTCTAGTTTTCCTCGAAAGAGTGTTTTTGTTTTCCTTGTTTTCATTACTGTGCAAATCTCAGTAAAGTCTTATTTTGAAACACTATCCGAGTCTGAGTTTGAGTCGTGCAATTGAGTTCATGCCTCAGAGTTCACTCCCTGACAATCAGTCTGTATCAGATCCGTTGCAGCCCCTTTTTTTTTAGATTTGGGTATAGAGGAAAAGAGAGAGGGTTGTATTTGCTGACACTTGGTGAGTTCCCTGCGACACCGGGGGACACATATTCATGTATATAAAGATGTACAAAAGTGCATTTTGCATGATACAGTAGGTCCCCTTTAAGTTTTAAGGAAAACTGCCTACTTTTGAGCCAACTAATAATCTTCTGTTGAGATAACTTATTCATATGTATTGTTATGTTGAATTATTTTGTTCTCTAGAATTCCAAATCGTGCCAGCTCAACATTTCTGTTTCGAAAATGTACCTTTTGTATGTTATAACTTGTAAGTTCTAATTTTGAGTTTCACATTTTAAGTGACAAACATGGGAGATCATGGCTGACCTCCAGGATTGAAGAAGCCTGGCATGGGAGAATAAATACCACTCTCTGGTGTGTATCTCCATGCGGGGTTGGATTCATTAACAATGTTAAGAGTTCATAAGGATTATATACTGATATTGCGTGATAGCTTATCCATGTTGAAGTAGATGTGGATGTTTTTAACAGTTAGATTTAGATAAAAAAATCATGGGATGAATATTTAGAGCCCGTCAACAAATCACAGGTTAAGCAAGTTTATTTTCTTCCTTTTTTTTAAAAAAACCATATGAACTCGTCCTAATACTACCAAAACTGCTACAAGTTCTACTTGTAGCTGTGACAACACTTCATTTACTATAATATATATTTTCAAGACCTGCTCCTTCCTAAAAGGCGCCTAAGTCCTGTGGGTCCATGTTCAGAATGTTTTTTACGCATTCAAAGGCAACCAGTGGGTCGGCTTTGATAAGCAGAGGAGCTATGATGCCAGGGTACAGAATATTTTTACATGTGGAAATTGGAAAAGAGGATATAATTCAACAGATCTGTCCACATGAGAGTTTCAGTATGATACCTCTGACTGTCTCACAGGTGGACTATCTGAAGAGCAGGCAGCTGTGTGGACACTGGATATGGATTACGTTCTGGACAGTTCTGTGAACAGGGAAAATATCCACTGATATCCCATCTAAAGCATAAACTCAGTGAAGGTGAGGGTGCAGCAGGTTAATAATTTCGCAACGATTGTCATCCTCTATCACTGAAGTGAGCCATCATGAACGAACTTATGCTAATCATAATCTATCGATCATAAATCTATCGATTACATTTATGATTATAAAATTATAAAAGTAGGGTAGACATGTGGATATTGTCCGGCTGAACAAAATGTGCATTTATCAAAACAGGTTCGTTTTCCACAGACTTTATTTCCAGCTATTTTTTTCCAAAATCCTATGGAGAAATCCCATTGCTTTTTTGTCGAGGGAACCCGAGCGCAGCTTACTTCCGGGGTTTTAGGATGCGTCACTGCACCACTCTATAACACACAGGGGGGTGTTTCTCAATGTCGAGTACGCTTGCTTGGTAGTATGTCTTCCGAGCCACTTGCTTCAGAAAGTGAGGCAAGAACACTTCCTAGCCTCGGAAAACGAAGAGTGGAACAGGCGAGCAAGTGTGCAGGTGTGCGTCATATGAGAGGCCCCGCCTTACATTTTCCGCCACAGATTTGGGGGAAATTGGTCCGTGCGCAAAGCATTGTGGTTAGCACATGTCTTCCGAGTCACTTGCTTCAGACACCCAGGGTGTTTCTCAATCCATTTCGTCTCCTCCCGCACCCCTCCTCCCTCACCCCTCCTCGACTCCTCCGGGGACGTCCTTCAAAATGGCTGTCTTGATCGATTTCCGGGTCAAGTCCCGGAGGAGGGGAAGAGAGGAGTCGAGGAGGGGTATTGAGATGAGGCTCCAGTAACTCGCAGAGAGGGCCAGACGAGCTTCTTTCATTGAACCCTTCACATTCCAACAGAAACTGAAGAGGCAGATTCTAACGATTTATTTCTTTGGAAATGTTATTTTAAATACAATTAAATAAAATTATTTTTGGTCAAACTAATTGAAAATATACTAATAAATATTTAAACAATATTTAAAATGTTGTTTTTTTTTATGTTTTTCAAATATTCTTTTTTAGAATATCTTTAGGCCTAGACCTAGAGGGCCCTGACGACTCACCACTACTCTAAGTTTGTGTTTGCCCTGTTCTGCTTGAAAGCAAGTACCTGGCTGCCTCTTGCAAACTGTTAAAAACAACAAACGCTTGAACTTGTACAATTTTGAATCTGTATTTTTTAATATGGATCTTAAGTTGGCGTGACGTTGAAGCAGCGCCTGCTGTAGTTCGTTTATAGCATAACGTTAGCATGTTGCTTCTTGCGACTAGATTTATGATTCGAAAATTATAAAAGTAGGGAAGACATGTGGATATTATCCGGCTGAACAAAACGTGATCTGCCTCTTAAATGTGTGTCAACCAAATAACCTTATTCAAGCTATTTTCCAAAATCCTATAGAGAGGCGAAGTCCCTCCCCTTCCGGCGGGACTCATGGACCTTATTTCGGAAAAAGTTTGTATTGAAGTCAATGGAGAGAGAAAGATTATCTTTCAATCCCGTTTGAATTGTGCCACGAATTACACATATGATGTTTGTCAATCTTAAAAAATAATTTCCATGTCAAAAAAGTCACAGTCTGTCGCAAAAAATGTTGAAATATAAGACTATGAAAAATATGCAACTAGAAAAGACTACAAATCCCAGAGTCCCGGTCCCCTCATGCAGGCTCTCACGAACCGACTAACTCCCCTTGTGGTGTATGTACAGCTCTCAACATGCCCAGACTTGTAGTGATTTTCACCTCTTTAATTACTTTCGCTCATTCTGAAAGAAAGAAGTGAGATGTTCCAACGGGACGGCCGTCTTGGTGTGTGGTGCGAGACGGGAGAGGTAGTTCTCATTGAGCGGTTTTCACACTAAAAAATGTGTTACTTCACAGTTTTACGACACATTTAAAAAAAATTGACTGTAAAATTTATCTTTTAAATAACATCATATGTGTAATTCGTGGCACAATTCAAGCGGGGATCGAAAGATAATCTTTCTCTCTCCATTGACTTCAATGCATAACTTTTCCGAAATAAGGTCGCATGGAGCTCAACCGGAAGGGGAGGGACTTCGCCTCTCTATGGAGAAATTGCATTGCTTCTTTTTCGAAAGAACCGGAAGGAGTTTACTTCCGGGTTATAGGATGTGTCACTGTGGCACTCTATGAGGAAAATATCATAATTCATAATATATTGGATTAATCAAAAATGTATTTGGCTGGAGTCCAGACTCCAGTTCAAACCTTTATATATGGAGATGCAGCAGCACCACAGCAGCTGTCATGCATTGTCATGGTAACACTTTGTAATCAGCCACTGTACAAAAACAACATGCTATATGATATGCCACCCATATGAACTGTTGTATGTGTGTGTTCATTTATTTAAGTGTAACGCTCAGGTTGTATTACACATTATGGGATGCTATGCTATAAGCCAGTGTGTGTTAAAGTCAGGTAGATAAAAAAAAGTGTTCTAGTGATAAACTGTATCATTAATATTCTTGGTAATAAAATTGTATCAAATACCAATGTGTGATTGTGGCTTTGTATTGACTAACCATACAGGGAATTATCTTATGACTCTGCATCTCTACAAAGCATTAACTTTGACTCTTTTAGGTCATTGTTTTTTATCCAACAGTCGTTGCCTCAATACTTACTTACCCCAGCAGGCAGAAGTTTTTAGCAAAAGCCCTGCCTGCACACTGTACAGTATTGCAAACCTCTAAAGGTTGGTGGGCCTTATTGCACCTAAAGGTACATTTTGGACTTGTGAACATAGCAATTTTGCTGGTAATGGTATCCATTTTACTGACTTATAATATTACTTATAATAGTAATCTAATACAGAGCAGCTAACAGCTGGTTTAATCATGATGACAAAGAAAGTAAACGTTTTTTTAAAGTGGATGTTCCTTTAAGGTCGTCACGCCTCCATGACATAGAAATTACCGCAATGCTCTCCGGAAAATGTAGTTTTATTTGAACGTACAGCCTTTATAACAATATGGCTTAAGATATACCGCTTACTTCATTTCCCCACAATTCCTATAGGTATTGTACTTCCTGGTTAGATTCCACGTAGCTTCCAGTGATTTTAGAGAGTTTCAGATTAGGAAAATAGCTACAAACGAAGACTCTTACGGCTTTATTTATGTATCTTCGACTGTTGTTCAGTCGTGTTTATAGACGTGTTATTAACTGTTATGATAATGAAACCACAGTGGCGCGTGACGCTGTGTTTACCCTCATATGAAGGCTAGGCTATGCTATCAAGCTAATATCACTAAGACTAGTTAGCAAGTAGTTGTATTGTTTACATATTTCTTTCAAGATGTATACCTTATTATCTGGGTTATATAAGTATGTTTTCCAAAAGGACGAATTCTGTGTTTTAATCCTGGGACTAGACAACGCTGGGAAAACGGTAAATGGGATGTTTCTCTGTAGTAGGCCTACAGCTGAGTAAACGCTAACTCGTTGGTCTTCATTGACTGTATTGTTGGTTGTGTTATGTTCTGCATTGTGCTGCACTCATCACTATGCTGCTTCGACGACTGTTTTCTTGTAATAATGAAATAAGTAATGTAATGATATGCCTGTTAGCCTATGTCATGGCATGTGAATCACTGGATATACATATGTTATTGTCTGTTAAGTTGACAGTTGTCTCTCTTTGCAGACCTTTCTGGAACAGACCAAAACCAAGTTCAGTAAGAAACTATAAGGGAATGAATTTATCAAAGATCACTACCACGGTTGGCCTGAACAGTAAGTGGATGTTCCAGTATGTCTTTATTTGTGCTTGACTGCCCAGGGTGGAATACTTTTCTGAAATGCCAGTGAATTGACAACATCTCTTCTCAAATCCAGTAACATGGTTCCTTTGAGCACCTTGTCAGAGGAGTGCACAATGACAACTTGTGGCAAAAGCCAATCACACTTCACATAGTGAATCTTATAGGGGGTTGTTTCAAAGGCTAACGGCAAACATGAATTGTAATTTACTAAGCTTATCGTTACTTGTGAACATAGTCATTTTATGCATACCTGCTTTCTAAACTCATTCCACTTCACTCTGTAACTCTTCAGACTGCTTGTTTTTGATTGATTCCTCCCTCAGATCTACAGTTCTTATTTGTATACATGTTTCACTTTCCTTCACAGTTGGTACTATCGATGTGGGCAAGGCTCGTCTAATGTTTTGGGATCTTGGAGGTCAGGACGAGCTCCAGTCTCTGTGGGACAAAGTGAGTGAAGAATGCAACACCAACACCATAGACCAGGGGTGCCCACACTTTTTCAGCTTGGGAGCTACTTTTAAAATGACCACGCCCAAATGATCTACCTACAGGGCCGCCCCTGCCCAATCTGTGTCGCGAGCGGGGGGTGCTAGTGGACTAAACGGCGGATAAACTGTTATCATAAAGCATTTGCGCTTCAGATGAGGAGGTGAGGCCCCCTCATAACGGCATGAACCCGTATGGCACAATACAACTCAGCCTGGCTTACCTGTACTGACCAAGTGGCAAATGCCATAGTAAGGATGGATGATCTACACACTACCTTTGCGATCGACGTATTGGGCACCCCTGCCATAGATGAATGTACATTTCTAAATACACTCGTAACATGAAGTATTACATCCTGGTATATCAGACTTTCCTGACTGGCAGCTTCTAGCTACACCTTCAGCAGTTGTATCAAATGGTACCTTGTATTATTGTCCTTTAGATGAAGTGTTGGTTACTCTTTGTTTATTTGTAATGTTCTGTTTATATGTTTCATGTTCTATATGTAGTATTATGCTGAATCCCATGGAGTCATCTATGTGATAGACTCAACTGATGAAGAGCGCCTGTCAGAGTCAAAAGAGGCCTTTGGTGAGTTATGTCTATTATATTTTCAAATGAAATGGCCTGTGACTTTATTCCATTCAAAACACAACATTGTAGTTTAGAGGCTTGTTCTAGTGCAGAATGTTTATCATCACTTGACTTCATAAATGGTTTAGTGTGTTATGTTAATGTGAACTCCATAATGTGACTCTTGTCTTCTGCAGAGAAAATGATCAGCAATGAGGCGTTGGAAGGTGTCCCGCTCCTCGTGCTAGCCAACAAGCAGGATGTACCGGTACTGTAGGATCATTTCACTTCATGAAACCATGTACAGAATGATGCAGTTTTATTTAAAAACCCAGATTATATTCTATGTTTAGGCTGGGGCTGAACGATGACAGGGTGAGTCTTAAACTGAAGCTTGACTTGAAAGCAACCCAACGGAAGTTTCATGTAACTTTAGTTCTTTCACTCGTAGCTCGGCTGCGGGGTGCTAGAGACGGGAGCACGTTGATGCGACCTTCCTAGCCGGAGGTATGGCCGCATGTTACAATAAACTTCCGTTGGGTCGCTTAAAAACAAATATCGCAAATCGAATCGCAATATCTGTCAGAAAAATCGCAATTAGATTTGTTCCCTAAATCGTGCAGCCCTAGTTTAGGCCATTCATCCACAATAAGCTGTTTTATTTTTAATAGAATTCTGCTTCCAGCTTTTCAAATATGTAATCATTTGTTGCTTCTTGCTGTTTTATGTCATGGAAAATAAATGATCTAAAGTTGTTTAACTGTTGGTTGGACTGTACAAGCAATTGGGAACGTCCAGAGGGCCTGCTTTCCCCTTAGTGAAATAGAAATGAAAAGTATTTCTTTGCTGTTGCTTTTCCTCCGTTCTCAGGACTGTTTGTCTGTGCCGGACATTAAAACAACCTTCAGCGACTGTGCCCCGAAGATTGGAAAGAGAGATTGTTTGGTCCAGCCGTGCACTGCCCTGACAGGGTAAGACGGCTCTGTCATTTGTCTTCTGAAGGTTGAATTTACAAGAAGTGTATGACAGCGGCTAAAATCACCTTTAACGCTCCCCCGACCACATGAGAGCACCACCGGCCTCAAAGCCCATCTCTTCAATAGACCTTTTATTTGTTACTACCCTTTCGTGCTGTTTTTTTACTATTCACTCTGTTGTCTACTGTTTTATATTGTTCCATGCTCACTGCTTGTAGCACTTCGGGATTTGACCTCAAATATGAAGCGCGTTACAAATGAAACCCATTATTATTAACGGCGCATTATTTGCAACTAGCAACCCGCCATCAAGGTCCGTCTCATGAAAGATATTGTACACGGCGCACATTATGGTAGCTGAATGCAGTTTGCCCTGTTTTGCAATGGCAGAGGGAAGATGATAAGTGCGTTCTCTTGAAATAAAAGCCCTTTTTTCTAAATATTTCTCTTATGCGTTCAAAACAATTGCATATCGGGGAGCTTCATTCAACAACTAGTTTGATCACCACTGATGATCAGTGTGAGGTCTGGGTCTGACCCCCGTTATTAATGGGCGTCACTCAGTCACCACCAACTCGCATAAGACACAAATAATGTCACTGTGTGTAGCTATAAACTCTGTACACATTGACCTGTTCTTTCTATTTTATTTGTATTTATCGTCATTTTTATTCAGGCTGAATATTTTTGAGCGTCGAGTTTAACAGCCCACTGTCATTTGTTCAGTGCAGGCGTGTGAAACTGCTGCGGCTCTGGCAGTGATAACTGTGTGCCTTTGTGATTAGAAATAGAACAGCGCACATGTTTGCTGTGCTCACAAACGGACGTCGCTTCACGTGACGCTCCGAGGAAAGGACGTCCCATTGCTCTTAAAACTCATCTCCTTGCTTCTCCCTTCTCGTGGTTTCCTTGCGTCTCTCCATGCTTCCCTGGTGGGAGGGACTAAGACGCAAGTGAGGGACGCAGGGATGGAAGTTAAGGGACTTGGCATGCAGCACGGTTAGGGGTGAGCTCTCCCTTTGAGGTACTTCACCTAGTAACTCCACAGTTTCATTTAGTCTCAAAATAGTTAGCTTACCAAATCAAAATGCTTAGACGTACAAGAATACAACAGTTATAAGCTCAAGGTCAAGTCACTGAGCTGCAACAGAAATGCTTTAGGTCACTATATCAAAGTGATGGATGGTATTGAAACATGGCTGGGAAAGAAACAGCTCTTGCAGATAGTGAGTATTTATGGGCTGCCCGCTCTTAGTTCTGTTAATGCCAGCTGAGCACAAACCACCAGCAGCACAGCAGAACACCATCCGGGTTAAAAAGGCTCCGCCAGCTTGATCCAAGTGCTGTTCTTTGAGTCCTTACTTAACGCTGTCTTCTCTTCCATGCAGGGATGGAGTGAACGAAGGCATAGAGTGGATGGTAAAGTGTGTGGTCCGGAACATTCACAGGCCACCCCGACAGAAGGACATCACGTAAGAGGCATCAGCACCCTTCACTCATTTTGGACTTTGTCCTTAAGGACATTCCATGTGAACCCTGGAGCTGATCCCTCTCCTCTCTCCTCGTTTGGACTTCTGCCTTGAGGAGCTCATTACAGACGGTCTGACAGGACCATTGTGCTTTGAATGGACTCTGTTTTTCTTGTTACTCGTTTGAAGCTGTGTAACGATCCTCTCTCCTGTCCCATTCTGTCACGTCCTGTATGAGCTTCACTGACTGACTGTGAGGCATCAGCAAGACAAATCCACTCTGAAATATACAGCACCGTAGAGGAGGTTTCTCTATTTTTTTAAAGAGCATAGAACATTTTCGGAGCATATTCGTGCAAACAGCATTGACTCTACAGGAGGTCTGTTAACAGCGTTTAGACCTAGCATGGAGTCCAGCTAGCATTAGCGCTTTTGAACTCTTTAATCCAATGTACAGACCAGAGAACCAGGAAAGCACTCACTACTCTGTTCTTTACTTTACTTGGTTTCTAACCAACCAAAACTTGTCTTGTTATGTTAATCACTCTGTCATTTATTTGGCTTCACATAATTACATAAGATAAACTCATGACAGATAAATGACAACAATTACCTATTTCGAAGGGTAAGTGGAATTTCTAGGACTTTACTTTGAAAAGCTTTCTTGTGTCAAATCGATATAATGTGAACTAAAATACTCGGTGAAAAGGAGAATACCAACAGCTGTTTAACTTTTAGGAGGTTTTGTTAAATGTATTGCATTTATTAGAGGACATGGTAATGGAGCTCCATACAGAGACGTCCTGTTATACATCTTCTGTAAAACATTCATAGTGATCAAAACAGGTTTTGGAAAGGTTCATAATGAGTTCCCTCCATGCTTGGCTAACTGGGTGCAATATTTGTGAAAACAGGGAGAAATCATACTGACCTCTGCTGAATGACTTTCACCCAGTGGTTGAACTTGGGGTGTATAACGTAGTTAACAATCCAAGGTGACGTATTTTGTCTGTCATTTATATATATATTAAATATAGATGATATAACAATAAATGTCTGATTTCAAACAAACAACATCTGTCATGTTTTAGTTCTGAAGGGTCCTGCTGTCAGTTCTCACAATGACCCTCACCCCTCACCCAGGACTGTTTGTATCAACCATGACAGCTTACTGTGCTGTCAGCGACTGGATGACTTTGTGTTTTCTTACATTACTACATGAACTCAATGCAACCAGTTGAATGGGATTATATTGGACTCCCACAACAAACTAATATAACCCAAAGTCATGATGCACGACTATTACGTTTTTGGCATTTTCTGTTCTAATATTTAATGCTAATTATTATTCAAATGTATACATAGATATATATTGATCAAGGAACTGTTTCTAGATGTTTTGATTTTAAGCAATCAAACATATCACCATAATATAATGAGCACACTTGATATTGATGGTGGTGATCATCTGACCTGGGATCTGCTGCAGCACAGTGCCACCCTCTGAGCA